CATGCGCTGGGGGGTTGGCTTTGCCTCGTCCAGGCCGTGCGTGGTGGATCTGAGCTGGAACCAGAGCGTCTCCTTCTTCGGCTGGTGGGCCGGGTCCGAGGAGCCCTTCTCCTTTTATGGGGACATCATCGCTTTCCCTTTGCAGGATTACGGTGGGATCATGGCAGGGCTGGGCTCCGATCCCTGGTGGAAGAAAACCCTTTACTTGACCGGGGGAGCTTTGCTGGCCGCAGCTGCGTATGTGCTCCACGAACTCCTGGTCATTAGGTGAGCCGGAGAGGGTCCCCCGCCCCCCCCCAGCAGGGCCGCCGAGAGGGGCACCTGGCCAAGGCAGGGCTGCCGCGAGTGGGGACCCGTGCCCGCCCCTCGGTCACGCAGCCCGGATGCCTCAGCGTCCTGTCATTTCCTTTCCTCAAAGGCAGTCCGTGGTCTCCCGGCCGTGGGGGCAGTTTAGAGTCGAAGGAGAATTAAGCTGGTGCTGGGAGGGAAAGCCATTTGCCGCCCGGTGCTCGGTGCTAAAAGCCGAAATGCTCCGGGTCTCGGGTCGTTATCTGTTCAGAGACGTCCTTAGGGTCCTAAGTGCAATATGTTTGCAACCGTAGAATCAGGCCCTGGAAAAATGCTAGGTTACACTTTTAAGAAACGCCTTACTTGTTTATAGGTAATCATGGAGGGGGGTGGAGGAGAGTCATCTCATCTTTCGCCTGAAAGGCTAGTTCTCCACCATCTTTCCCTAAATGTCAACATCAGGAGGCTGAAAAACTGCACAAGCTGCAGAAGTCTGAGGGTCCCCTTCGAGGTGCATGGCCCGGTAGAGTGGGGCGCAGTGTTGGTGCAGCCTTAACCCGGTTCTCTGCTTATCTGTGTCGAACGCCAAGCACCGTCTTCCGGCTTAAGTGCCATTGTTGTGTGAGCTGGAGATCCGAGGACAGGCTAGCACATGGGCGTGTTGGAGTCGCCCCGTGCTGTCCACAGTGGCATCCGCTGCCGCAGAATGTTTACAAGATTGACTTGGAAACACCGGAAGACGGAGGCCCCGGCTGTCGGTCTGTCCAGCCGGTAGGAGATGTTGGTTTGAGTTAGGGTGATACCACAGGGCTGTGAGACCGTCGTTGGGCTAATGGGTGTTTCAGTTTAGGGCTGAAATGTCCACGAGTTGGAGCCCTCAGTCGCTGGAAGCCAAGCAGTTTTCAATGGCTCAGAATGTCCTTCTTGTCCGGTGTTTTGTAAAGTGAGAGCAGTGTGTCCACACCGCCTTCTCCCAGTGGAGGGATCCTACACAATAGGTTATAAACACAGACAGTGGTAGGTGACCTTTACCAGCCTGCAGGGATCCTAGGAGGACAGTGTGCCAGCCTCATGTTGGTATTTTGCCCAACTTAGGAATTTTGATTATTTCCGGTTAGAGCAGGTGGGAAGTCACTTAGGACTGGGCAAATATATTGGCTTGCATATTATTTATCCGTAGTTAAGTTTATTTTCAGCTTGTACATTTCATTCTCTTGCTTAGCACAGGGTCTTGAATCTAGTTGAACCAAATGTAAAGAAATTAAAGTGATTTATCTTTGTAGATTAATTTGTATTTGTGCCAGTTTTAGAACTCTTTTCAAGTTAGGTTAGCTATAAAAAGAAATAAAGCATGTGGACATAGCTGAAATGGTAACCCGGTTGTTTCTCAGTTATATTCCAGTCTAAAGCCTTTGAGGATCCCGGACTATGTGGGTTCTCAGCAGTTTTCCACTTTGTGGACTGGAAGGATGAGTCTGAAACAGTTTAAATAAATGACCTTACAGAAATAGGGGAGAGTTCAGGGCTCATTCTGAGTGGGCCACGCCCTGGCAGGTGTGGTTGCTGGCGACTGGAGATGCCCACAGATAGCTCCTTTTCATCTAGGGGACTACCAGCCCCACTTATTTGCATTAAGGAGTTTTATCTCCTTGATTTATTCACTTTCTTTTCTTGACAAATGTTTAAGTTGAATTGGGAAACCCTGTTATACTGTGAGCATTAAAAGGACTGCCCATGTTCAAGCGGTTAGTAGGGACTCTGTATATAAGTGCTTTACATGCGTGATTGCATTTATTCTTCACAACTGCTGTTTGAGGCTTGATACCCTTTTTATAGATAAGGAAATTACAGCCGAGGGGTCTTAAGCAACTTGCCCAGGATCGCATAGTAATGAGCAGAATCCAAATTCAAATCTGAGAATGTGTGTCCTCAAAGCATGCACTTTTTACTGCTGCCTCCTGGAAAGCACCTGCTCTGTAATAGGTTGTTTTAGGGAGAAGAGGAAGAGAAATGTTAAGAACTGGGGCATTGGTCAGGGAAGACAGGCCTGTGGTAGGGTCAAACTTTCCAGTAGCCTCTAGGGGTGCTGGGATGGGGGAAAGAGAAGGCAGTGAGGAGGATGGGGACTAAGACTTCAGAGGGCACATGATAGAGGCCTTCACTGAAGGGGAAATCCAAGTTTCAATAGTTTGCGTAATCTAGGCAATAAACGAAACATCGAATGTGAGGGATAGGAAATGCACCGTAAAATGGCGACACTGTCTGAGTTCACTGGCAATTGCAAACTCTCCACCATTCATCTTGGGTTTTCTGTGGCATAGATATAAAGTTGACAAGTGAAAGTTACTTAGTAAGTTTAATTAATGAGGAAAACCAACGTAGGTGTTTGGGGTTTTCCTAGTTGTGTTTTTTTTTTTTTTTGAGTCAGAGTCTCACTCTGCCACCCAGGCTGGAGTGCAGTGGCACGCTCATGGCCACTGCAGCCTCCACCTGCTGGGCTCAGGCGATCCTTCCACCTTAGACTTCTACCTTAGACAGCTGGGACAACAGGCACATTCCACCATGCCTGGCTAATTTGTTGATTTATTGTAGAGACCGAGGTCTTGCCATGTTGCCCAGGCTGTTCTCGAATCTGTGGGCTCAGGAAATCCTCTCACCTCAACCTCCCAAAGTACTGGCATTATAGGCATGAGCCACTGCGCCTGGCTGGTGTTTGGGGTTTTATCCATGTTATTTTCCACGAGCATATTTCTAAAACAAATATTGTCACAATCCTCTATTTTCCCTGAGTGGAGATAGCCTGGCAGCTGTCTTAAATTCAATCAGTCATTTGTAAATTGAATGACTAAGTAATAACTTCATTACCAGTAGTTCATTTGAACTTTTGGCACATGGGGTCAGCCTGTTCTAGAAAATTTAGTTAGTGACTCAGAGCAGCCCACAGGTCCACATCTAATCTCAAACTGACAACTCATCCTTGGCCAGGGAACTGGAGACAGTCTACTACTAGAATAGCTAGTTGATGATGCTCTATGGATTTTCTTTTTGTTTTATTTCAGTAATTTTAGGAGTACAGGTGGTTTTTGGTTACATGAATGAATTGTATAGTGGTGAAGAAGTCTGGGCTTTAAGTGTACCTGTCACCTAACTAGTGCACCTTGTATGTGATAGGTAATTTTTTTTCATCCTTTATGGGTATTCTCTTATACCAACCTCATCCTAAGGCCTCTTTATATATATATATTTTACTTTTTGAGACAAGGTCTCACTCTGTTGCCTAGACTGGTCTCAAACTCCTGGGTTCAAGCAGTCCTCCCTCCTTGGCCTCCCAAAGTGCTGGGATTACAAGCGTGAGCCCCCGCACCTGGCCAAGACCATAGGCACAAGCCGTAAGTATACAGGAAACAACTCATTGATCCTCTGAACCTAAACTGAGAGGTTCTGACTAGTGGAGAGAGGGCTCTGGAGGAGTCAGATTGTCTGGGTTCAAGCTTAGACTTTGCCTGTAGCTAATCATATTACCTTGGATATGATAGTAAGCTCTTGGTGACTCAGTTTTCTCATCTGTAAGATAAAGATAGTAATAGCTTCCTCACAGTTGATTAAATGAGTTAATGTGAAATATTTAGAACAGAGTTTGTCAAAGGGCAAAGATTCAATAAAAGTTGGCCATCATTAGCTATTATACCTTTTTTTTCCCCAGAAAGTTCCAGGCTTCAGTGTCCTGAGTCAAATGGCTGTGTTAATAAAATTAACTGAAGATTGACCATCTTGGTGTCCTTGAAGTGCTTAAGAGTTTGTGAACTGGAATTATTACAGACTTGACCTTAAATTGATGTTTCTGGGGCAAGCTATTTAACCTCTCTGAGCTCAGTTTTCTTTGTCTGCTGTAAAATATAAGTATGATCTGGTGTCCTAAGTTTAAACTATAGCAATACCCATTCTCTAGTCTCATTGGCCAAATTAAATAAGTTAATATGTGTGTTCTGTACAAAACCATTGGCTTATATTTGGTACATAATTACCATCCATTCTTACTGTGACCTGGCCCAAATTAACCATTAGAATGAGATCATTCTGGCAATGGAACAGGAGATTTTATATTTATGTTCTCTTCTTTCAGTTCTTAAATTTTTGCCTGACTAACTTACATGAAAATACCACTTTGTAGGGAAAAAAAAGAAAATACCACTTTGTGGTGTGAATTATTTGACTAGAGAAAATCAGTTAGTGAATTGTCAGATCCATAGTTTGTGCTGTCTAGGAACGTAGTCTAAGTGGGTTTTTGATTTTAACATCCGACCTTCCAAACATTTTTATATAAAGGAAAACCTTTGTTTTATAGCAAGTATTGCCATAAGGCAGCAAATATTTTTATTCTTTTGACTTGACTGGTATTTCTAAAACTGTTCATTCTGAACTCTAAGTTGAATGTCTCCTTGAGTGCTAACCTTCAAGAGAGTTTGTTTTACTAAATGTGGATACTGCAGGATTCGAGCTTCCACACGATGAAGATCCAAAGTCTGTTCTTGCTTGGGTGACATACTGGGCCAAGGGAAAGAGTGAAGTTTATCTGGGAAAAGGCTAGGTAGATGAAAGATGTGAATTGCACAAGGTTCCTGAGGGTTGGAGAATGAGAGGGCCTGTGTGGAATGATGAGATTTTTGTGGCTTACAGAGAGAAGAATTATGTTTTTGGATGAAAATAACTTCTACTATTATTTAAGGCTTGATAGCTCTCTAAATGTTTACAGATATCATCTTATTTAAGCCTCACAATAATCCACGCAGAATTGGTACTGACCGCACTCTTCTTCCAGGTGAAGGAGGTGGAAAGTTCTAGGGTGACATGACCAGTGGGAAGGAGGACTTGAACTTGACCTCAGGTGTCCAGACTTGGAATCCAGCATTGATTCTGCTATGTGATGGCTATTGAAAAATTGTACCCAGGGAAGTCCTTCTCACCCAAAAAAGTAGCCAAAGGAAAAGATGAGTGTGTCAGTGACATGAAAGAAAAGGAAAAGGGGTACTAAAAAATATGCTGTGTGGTCAAAGTGTGGATGCTGGAAGCAGAAAAGGAGAGAAAGAGAAAGAAAGCCCAGAAGAAAAGGACAGGGAGACAGCCCAGGAGACTGGGGTAGGGGTGAGGGGGAGAGGGAGAGAGAGAGAGAAAATGAGAATGGGTCCAGAAGTCAGGTTCCATGGCACTACAGGTGAAAGACCAGTTGAGGGCATGGGCTTGTTTTGAAGAGGGACCAGAATATTCATTTCAGATTCCGCAGTCTTGAGTCATGGCAGAACAAATCTGCACTGTTATTCCTAGGATGTTATTCTTATGGATGAATAGACTGTTTCATGGTATAGTCTAGTGGCCAGGAACATGGTTCTAACTATTTGTTTCAGTCCAGGTTCTGTCATTTACTAGCAGTGTGACTTAGGGCCAGTTAATCCTCTGTGCCTCAATTTCCTCATCCATAAAACGTGGATAAACATAATACCTACCTCATAACAGCTATTGTAAAAATTAAAGGAGATAATATCTGTGAAACTCTCACAGCAATAATAAGTGTAATAGGCACAGAATGTCATTATTATCCATCCAACTTGTCCATGGCAGGTAAACATAGCCAGCTGGTGGACCAGTACCAGAAAATATTCTTCCTGCTCACAGGCTACGGGTAGTTATTTGATAGGTAGCTACTTGACAAGTAGTTACTTTTGACTTGTGGGGTCATGATAATATCAGAGTTCGTAGCTTCTTTTGTTTTCTGACAAGCTTCCAGTCTCTAAGTGCTGGGTGAGGTGAGCCCCTGTGACAAACAGATCTGCTTGTTCACTGGGGAGCTCCAACCCAGCAGGGTCCTCTTAGGAAGTGAGGGAACTGAATGTGTTTAATGTGAATTGCTCTTTATTTCTGTTTTGGTTTTGGCAGGAAACAGCAAGAGATTGACTCCAAAGATGCTATTATTTTGCATCAGTTTGCAAGACCTAACAATGGTGTTCCCAGTTTGTCTCCTTTCTGTTTAAAAATGGAAACTTATTTAAGGATGGCTGACTTACCCTATCAGGTACTTGTGTACAAATATGTTTTATTCTCTTGACATCAACAGCAGTTAAAGGCAGGGGGAGGGAGGGGTCCTTTAATCTCACACAACGGCTGCCAGAGGGAATGGGGTCTGAAATTAATGGTGCCCAGTGCTTATTAAGATGGAAACACTGGATTTCAGGACCTGTTTTGTTTTTTGGGGGGCGGGGGTGACGTTGGAGTCTCTATCGCCTAGGTTGGAGTGCAATGGCTACCACAGCCTTGAGCTGCTGGGCTCAGGTGATCCTTCCGCCTCAGCCTTCCAAGTAGCTGGGACTACAAGCACGTGTCATCACGCCTGGCTTTTTATTTTTATTTTTTTTAAGTTTATTGTAGAGACAAGATCTCACCAAGTTGCCCAGGCTGGTCTCAAACCCCTGGGCTCAGACAGTCCTCTCGCCTTGGCTTCCCAAAGTGCTGAGATTACAGGTGTGAGCCACTGCATCCAGCCAGGATCTATTGATTTTTACATCCAACATAATGATGGAGCAAATGAATCTAAACTTTCTTTTTCTTTTCTTTTTTTTTTTATTGTTCTATAATGAGGCTGATAAAAAAGGGTATAAACTTTTGAGTGATTCAGGGCCATGAAACTTTTTTCCTACATAGAGTATGCTTTGGTTAATAGTTTGGATAGGCCTCCTAGGCAGCTATTGATAACAGTGGGTATGCCATTGCCTGATTTGTTTTTTCTTTAGATTTTTATTTACTGACAGCATTGTATTTTGTCTCACGAATCCTGAAGGAGGTGGCCCAGTGGGCCGCCAGGTGGATATTGTGAGAGTTTTTCCACTGTATTCTATTTTCTATTTGTGTGACTTTTAGGGAAGCTCATGCTCATTTTATCATTAAAAAATGAACAGAGGAATGTATTTAAAGGTATACATCTCTTCCTGGGTAATGCTTGAGCTGTGTCTGACAAATGTGATATGCTGTGTTTTCACTGTCATTCGATTCTGTGTGTTGTTTAAAATTCCCCTTAAGTTTTTCTGTCTAACCAAGTTCTAGGCGCATGGGATTTTTAAAAAAAGTTTTGATTTTTGTTATCGTTTTTAATTTTATGGTCAGAGAAGCTAGTCTCTGTGATATTGATTCCTTGGAGTTTACTGAAGCTTTGGTCTAATCTGCGGCTACTTTTTCTTTTTTCCCCTGTATGTGGTTACTTTTTTAAAATGTTGAAAATAATTACAGGGCAACCCCCTCAGGTCCCTTCCCACTTTGGGAACTTTTCTGTCCTCTCAATAAATCCTGCTTAAAAAATAATAATAATAATTAAATAGTCACAGTTTGGGTATATATGTAGAGAATTCTCTATATATCTACTTTCTTAAAAATGTTGTATTAAGACCTTCTGTATTTCTTCTTATTTTTTGTCTGTCTTTTCTAGAAGTTTCTGAAAGGAGTATGTGAAAATATTCAGGTGTATTTGTTTGTTTCTTTTTTCTGTCATTCTGTCAGTTCTTGCTTTATGTAGGAGTATGCATGCTTATATAGTTGCGATTATATAGTTAGGTATATATAATTTGAAAGATCACAGCTTTTTTTCTTGTTTCTTTTCCTAATATATATTATCCGTTGTTGTCCTTTACAAGCTTTTTAGAAATTTGAACTTTTTATTATCAGATATTGAAATGAATTATACGGCTTTCTTCTCATTCATGTTTGCTTAGGCTGTCTTTCTCTATTTTCTTTTGTGTATTTGTTTCTCACTTGTGTCTACTCTGAAAGTCCTTTAATAGATTATTCATTTATACTTATGGTAATGATTATTTTATTAGAATTTATTTCTATTATCTTATTTTTTTCTTATTCTACTTCATTAAAAAATGAAGTAGAAAATACAGGTGCATAAAAATTTTTCTCTCATCATTTAAAACAAATTCTATTTTTGTTGTTATAGTGACTGCCCTTAAGACTCAAATTTGGCGGGGCATGATGGCTCATGCCTATAATCCCAGCACTTTGGGAGGCCGAGGCAAGAGGATTGTCTGAGCCCAGGGGTTCGGGACCAGCCTGGGCAACTTGGTGAGAGCTCGTCTCTACAATAAATAAAAAAAATTAGCCTCACGGAAGAAAAAAAACACCCCAATACAATTCTTTGTAAAAAAAATTATTCTTAAAGCCAGGCATGGTGGCTCATGCCTGTAATCCCAGCACTTTGGGAAGCTGAAGCGGGAGGATTGCTTGAGCCTGGGAGTTTGAGACTAGCTTGGGCAACACAGCAAGATACCTTGCCTCTACAAAAAAAAAAAAAAATCAAAGAAATTAGCTGGGTTTGGTGGCGCACACCTGTAGTCCCAGCTACTTGGAAGACTGAAGTGGAAGGATTGCTTGAGCCCAGCAGATAGAGGCTGCGGTGGCCGTGAGTGTGCCACTGTACTCTAGCCTGAGCAACAGAGTTAGACTCTGACTCAAAAAAATAAAAAACCCAAATTTGTTTTTATTATTCCTATTTATTTATTAAATGTATAGAAGTCTTTATTTAACCTGTAACAATACCAATATGTTCGCAGTTGATATATACCTAGGATTTATCCCTTTCTTCCTAGCCCTTATCCCAATTATGTTGCGGTTGTCTAAAATTTTATTTCTGGAATTTTGGCAATTATTTTTCCTTTTTTTAATCCTTTTTAGATGACAAACTTTACTAAGTTACTTGTCCTACAGGATTCATTTATCTTTTTATGTCAGTACTTCCTTGATGAATATTTTCTGAGTGAAGCTTTTGGTGGCAAACTTCCAGTGACTTTGCATGCCTGAGAATATCTTTATTATACCCTCTCCTTTGATAAGTGTATCCTCAAAATTTTTTTCCTTCATATTTTAAAAATGAGACTCCACTGTCTTTTTTACATTGATGTTGCTATTTAAAAATTTGATGTTAAGCTCATTTTTCTCCTTTTGCTTTCTTTCTAAATTCTTTTTTTTTTTTTTTTTTGAGTCAGAGTTTCACTGTCACCCAGGCTGGAGTGCAGTGGCATAATCACAGCTCTCTGCATCCTTGACCTCCTATACTAAGGTGATCCTTCTGCCCAGCCACCCAAGTAACTGGGGCCATACCTGGCTAATTTCTTTCTTTTTTTGTTTAGAGACAAGGTCTTGCTAGGTTGCCTAAGCTAGTCTCAAACTCCTGGGCTCAAGCCATCCTCCCACCTCAGCCTCCCAAAGTGCTGAGATTACAGGCGTGAGTTGCTACACCCAGATCTAAATTCTTTTAGAATTAGCTTTTAATCTTAATACTTTCAAGTTTCAGTATAATGTGCCTCGGTGTGGGTTTTTATATTTCCTGTTTGGTCCTTTATCAACTCTTTATCTGAGGACTTTCATCTCATTTTCATCCTGGGAAATTAGCTATCAGTTTCTTAAAATATTTCCTTTTCTTTTCTTCCCTCTTCCCTGTTGTCTGGATGTGGGGGCCTCTACTTTTCTTTTGTATGTTTCTGTGCCCTGTCCTTTCATTCTTTCCTGCTGCCTTCTGGGAACTTGCCTCTTTCTCAGCTTCTGTTGCTTCCCTCTGTTATCTTTTTGTTTATCTAATCTATTGTGTTCTTTATTTCAACTTTTGTATTTTTCTTTTCAGTATTTTTCCTGAGCTTATATTACTAATCATTTCCTTTATCCCGTGGAGAATGTTTATTGAACTAGTTAGCTTTTTGGGTCTGTCCCAATAATTCTGTTTCGTGTCATATATATTCAGGACTCCATCTTCCTTTCATAGCAGTTATTAAATGTCAAGTTTATTTGTTAGATGTCAAGTTTATTTGTTTGTGTATTTATTTTGTTTTGTTTCTGAGTTGGGGGTCTCACTCTGTCACCCCAGCTGGAGTACACTGGCATGATCATGACAATCATGGCTCTCTGTAGCCTCTACCTCCTGGGCTCAGGCAATCCTTCTGCCTCAGCATCTCGAGTTGCTGGGACTAGAGATGCAAGCCACTGTGCCTGGCTAATTTTTAAAATTTTTTTTGTAGAGATGAGGTTTTTCTGTATTGCGCAGGCTCACCTTGAACTCCTGGGCTCAAGCAATCCTCCCTCCTCGGCCTTCCAAAGTGCTGGGATTACAGGCATGAGCCACCACGCCTGGCTAGTTATTTTGTTTGAGAGTTCCTTTTACCAGGGATGCTAGCTTCCCTGCCTGGGAATTTGTATAGGGCAAGGGCTAAAGCCCAGGCCACAGGTTGTGCACCTCCGAGGGAGTTTAAGAAAAGCAAGCAGGTGAGCCATGGGCATTCCAAACCACTGTGATCCTTTCACTTTGCTCCAAATGGCTCCTGCTGCTCAGTGGTTTACCTTCAGGCTCTTACAAAGTATCACCCTGGGTGGAGGTGGTCTCCTTAGGCTGTAAAAGATCAGCTGGCCGGTCGGAGGAGGTGGGATCCTCACCCAACCAAGCTCTTGGCTGCCCCAGTGATGATATTACCTCTCCGACTCCTGACTCTCTGAAGCTTGTGCTTTTGAGCCTGTTTTTGTACAGATGAGGGGTTGGGGCTGGCAGTGACCCTCCTGAGGCTGGGATGAGATGCTTGGCATGATTTCAGCTTGTAAGTGCCAATGGAGGCCTCTGGGAACATGTAAAGTGGCACCAATTCTGGACTCCAGGTGGGAGGATCAGGGAGGACATGGGTTGTCTGGAAACAGAAAGGAGATCTTTGTGACTAGGAACTGGAAGGGAGTCTGGACAGAGCAGCAGGGAGAAGATGATGCAGACCTGGCTAAGCAGGCAAGAGAGGAGAAAATAGCAGTAAAGACAGACAAGGCTTGAAGCATCCACGTGCATTGGATCAGATTTGAAAGATTGTTGTTCCGCTTGGCCTTGGCCATCAGCACTGGAAAATGCTTGTCACTCAGGGACTCACATGGAAGGGAGAGGTTGCTTCCCAGCAGCTGCCTGTCTGTGTTCCATCACCTCTTGACCAGATCATCTCACGTAGCTGGGGCAGCTTTGGGGCAGTTAGGGTCCCACACCTGAATGTTGTGTGCTGCTGTCTCTGGCTGCGTTCAAGATCTGTGATAAAGTAATCCTGTGGTTTGTGGCGGCAGCTGCCAGGCTGTCCTGTGCATTCCTTTCTTCCCTGCAAACCACCAAGCACTGGCTGCTGCAGACTTTATAGAGGATGGAGAAGAACTCTTGTAAAAGTAAGGAAAGTGGCCAACGTCTTGACTTAGCTGGATATGGGCAGTTGGAATTCAGGAGACCAGAGGGACTGATAGCCAGTGAGGCCTGCAGGTGGGCCACAGCTAGGTGGTGTGGACCTAGATAGCTATGTCTAGGGTGTTAGGCGACATCTATTAAAGCCACTGAGTTATTTTGAGCAGTAGGCTTCTTGTGTCTCATCTACGTGGCAGACAGTTCCTTCTGATGGCAATGTGGGAGAGAAATTGCATCTGAGAATGAGAAGAGTTCAGAGGGGAGGTGTTAAGAGGATGTGAATGGTCTCAAGATAAATCTGAAACAGGGGCTGTTATATGATAAATTTGCCTTTTTGTTGTGCAGATGATAAGAATATTAGATGTATTAGCAACTTTTAGAGGTATGTGACGTCTCTTCTGGTTAACATCAGGGATAATGTCTAGGGCTGCCCTGTGAGGTTGAGCAGGTTGCTTATTGCACAACAGTGCCTGGCCAATGGGAGAGGGTGAAATCTCGACCCAGTTTTACTTACCAAGCTGTGAACCCTGGCAGGGACCATATCCGCCCAGAGCAGCCTCTGTTTCCTAAACTGCACAAAGACAATATGACTAATAGCAGCCCCAATCGTTTTACCTTTTCCAGGCTAGGCCCGCTTCCATTCTTTAGACTAAGTAATGAGATAAGACATCAAGACACCAAGAGGCAGAGACCAGTCAAAGTCCCTTTATTCTCTACGAAAGATAGTTGGTCCAAAAGAGATTTCTGGGACCATCCCCAGGATTCTGATCCTGAGGTCTAGGCTGGGGCCCAGGAACCTGCATTTTGAAGAGAAACCATAGTCGAGTCTGTGACACATACTTTGCTACACCCAGGTGTTATAACTTTTGGGACTGTTTGTTTGCAGTGAGTGGTGTTAAGTATTATTCAAGTGTAAGATACCGGTTTTCAAGTTAGGCCTTTGGTCAGGAGCCCCATCAATACAAGTCTCCTTGTGATGGTCGCATTTTTGCATTGACTATCGCGAGGGTCATTTCAGCCCTTTCTTTTTCTTTTTCTTTTTTTTTTTTGAGTGGTGTCTCACTCTGTCACCCAGGCTGCCTGGAGTGCAACATGGCACCATCATGGCTCACCACAGCCTCGACTTTCTGGGCTCAGGCGATCCTTCTGCCTCAGCCTCCCCAGTAGCTGGGACTACAGGCATGTGCTTCCATGCCTAGCTAATTTTTCTATTTTAATTGAGATAAAGTCTCACTACGTAATCTAGGCTGGTCTTGAACTCCTGGGCTCAAGCAGTCTTCCCGCCTCAGTCTCCCCAAAATGCCGGATTACCAGAGTGACCTACCATTTCAACCCTTTCGACCTGCTACCCCTCCCCCAACCCTCAGCTCCTAGAATTTGATTGTTTTTTCTTTCTTTTCCACCATTAGCCAGCCAGAATCTGTGCTAGAATCTATGAGCAAGTGACGCGATATCTTTAATGAGATTAAAAAGTTTATTATTTTTTTCTAGAGTAACCCTTCATTGTCTTAAAGTGTTTATGTACTGAGTTCCTTCACTTGAATAGTACTGTCATTATTAAACGTAAGGTTGGAATGTCTGTTTCTGTTCTTCATACAGTGGAATTTCACCACCACATTGCTTTTCTCTTTCTTAAAATGTACTCTGCTTAGAACTATTTTGGTGGAAAACTCTCTGCTCAAGGGAAAATGCCTTGGATCGAGTATAATCATGAAAAAGTTTCTGGCACGGAATTCATAATTGACTTTCTGGAAGAGAAACTTGGAGTGAATTTAAACAAAAACCTCGGCCCTCACGAAAGAGCCATCTCCAGAGCGGTGACCAAGATGGTGGAAGAACACTTCTACTGGTGAGTCCTGCTGGGCGTCCCCGCCTTCTCAGAGGAGCCCTGAATCCTTTCTGCTTAACTCCTCCCACCTTTTCAAAAGGTCTTCTGAGTCGACGGTTTGGGATGAGAAGTCTGACTGGCTTAGGGGGTCACCGTTATAACTTAACTTTTTTGTTATCCAGACTAGGAGGTGACAGTTTCTAGATCAGACCAGCTAGTAGATATTTGGAGCTTTGCCAGCCATACAACTCTGTCTGCACTAGTCATTTCTCCCGTCTTATCACAAAAACAGCCACAGATGATACACCAGTGAATGAGCATGACTGTGTGCCTGTACAACTGTATTATGCACACTGATACTTGAATTTCCTTTCTCTTTTTTTTTTGAGTTGGAGTCTCACTCTGTCGCCCAGACTAGAGTGCAGTGGCCACTCCCGGCCACCGCAGCCTCGACCTGCTGGGCTCTGGCGATCCTTCCGCCTCAGCCTTCCAAGGAGCCGGAACTACAGGCATGCGCTACCACGCCTGTCTGAT